AAATTTAGATAACTTTGATTTGGAGAAAATTGTTAAGGCAAGTTATCACAGAGGTAGATTGGTATATTTGGTAAGATACCGTAATGAAACTGGGAGAACACGAACCGAGTGGCGCTATAGTGGAGATTTGCCAGAAGATGTGAGAAAGAATTTTCACATTAAGTACACGTTCTCAGGCACTGTGCGAAAACGTCCCAGTATGTGAGAATTAAGAGTGGTATGAGAGATATAATTGTAGTAAAAATAAAAATATAAAAATAGCAAAATATAGTATAAAAAAAAAAGGAGTTTATATAATTATGAAACTGCTTAAAGTAGTTATGAGAGTATTGTTGGTAACTTTATTAAGATTCTTGTTGTTGGGGGTGAATAAAAATGTGATGTCCTTTCACTGCAATTTCCATTTAGGCATTGTGTTAAATGGTTAAGTCTGGCTCATATAAATTTCTATGTCATGTGTAACTAAATTCAAATTCTATATGCGCACATTTTTTTTATGTTTAGATTTTTTGTTGGCAACATTTATACTGGCATGGTAAATCTGAATATAACCTTTCTTACTATTTTCAACTTTGTTCTTTATTGGTATACGTAAAAGTGATACCCTTGTTAATATTAGAATACAAATTCGGAGGTTATTGTGACTTTGATGTCCAATATAATATTATATACATAGGTATAGAGTTGAGGTGATTTAGAGAAAAATAGATGTGTAAGTCTAATTGATGAACTGGCTGTATTATCATAGTCTATTAGAATTTGTATCATTTTACTTGGGGATAATGATGGACAAAAAGGCATTTAAGGGAGATAAAATGTGAGTTTATGAATCTTTGTTACAGTTGAGCTATGCGAAGCTTAAAATAGTCAAGTCCCAAGAATTTCTTGAGTATTATATGATTATTGTATATTTTTATATGTAAAGCAAAAAGAAGATGTTATAGTTACATTTTTTTGTATAAACTTATTTTTTTAAGTTTGCTATTTTTCACATCTTTCTAGCTTTACAGTCATAAATTAAGTTTACAAAATGCTTTGTGGGTAAATACAGAAGTTTGTATGTTTAATGCTACAGGTGTTTAATTGAATTAAGTTTATTGCGATGACATGATTGAAAAATATGGTTGAATCATCATAAGTTTATGCAATATGTGATTGAAAAATGATATGAGTGATTTAAGTGTTTTAATTGATTACAATGACAAAGATGACAGTGAAATGACAGTGTTGAAGTGAAAATGTGAAAAACATGTGTGTTTAACTGTAAATACAATTATCTTAAAGTAAGTGTTAACCAGACAAAAAGAACTAAAATGAAATGGAAATAAATGGAAGTTTTGTGGTGACATTATATCAAAAAAATGTATTTATATGGAAATTATGAACATAATTATATAAAGATCTCCTGTGGTTAATTAAGAATATCAAGACTTTAAAAAACTAATACTATTTTCTATAATTACACTGTTAACTGTGTTGATTGCATAATGATTATATACATTGTATTGCATTTTAAATTGTGTTTTATATACTTTGAAACATTGAAGTTTTCCAGTCCACCTTATCTGTATATTTATATGTAAATTGCTTAGTAGTGATTTTAATTTGTTTACTACTTGTCTTATTGTTAAATGTTCATTGATATGTTTATATGTTTATGTATAAAGTTTGACGGAGCAAACTTAGCTGGGTGGCGAGATAATGTAGCCAGGCAATATTTTGTTTTATGTTTATGATCAACCTAATATTATGCTAATATGTGATCTAATAACATATTTTGGTTCTTTGGAAAGCTGAGGGGGATAGACTGAAATTAGTTTTGGTCTGCTTCTTCAGCTTCTCAAAGCAATATCACTTAGGTGTGAAATCCTTTGATGTAAAAAGATTAGAAGCTGGTCAAATGCACATGTGATAATGTTTTATTAATTATGATAGACAGATTAAAGATAAGAAATATATTATTTGATTGGATAAATTCAAAAAGGGGGCAGATACTTTGGTTTGGATAGAATTTTGGACATACAGATTTGGGGGGAAAGTTAGGTCAGTTTAGGTTTAAGTCTAGGTTAAGAAGGTTAGGATAAGAAAAGAAAATACATTGAGTAGAAAGAAGAAGTGAATAAAAGGATTTAATTTGATATTGTAATAGATAATAGTTAATTAATAATAAGGTGGACTGGTGTAAAAGATTTAGCAAATCATATGGAATAAAAGAAACTGAATGTGGACATTAAAGTTTGTTGTTATATAAATTTCAAAAGCAATTGTGAAGTTAAGATTTAAAGCTAATTCCCCGAGTGGTTAGACCTAGAAAAGGGCGTCTGGCCACATATTTAACGCTGTTGTACTTTTGTCTTAATAAAACAATACCGGCAAAAAAAAAAATGTTAAAAACTTCTTCTAACTGATAATTATATAATTTTTTCTAACATAAAAAGAGTTACTGTTAAATAAATTTGCTCTCTATCATATTTCCATTTTTTGCTACCTCCACCCACATCACCTTTCAACCATAGAAAGTTGGGTATAATTTAACATAGAAATTACAGTGACCACATTAGGTCTCGGTCTAGTCTTATTTTGAACTCTATGTTCTATAGTAAATCAGTCACATTTGAGGCTTAATTTCCTGGATTCCACTGTTCATGCTGAATTATATACTGTTAATCAACTCTGTCTAAGTCAAACAAAGCCTGAAATACATGTATGATAAATAAGCCATCTTCTTTTCAGAAATCTATAGCCTGTTGTTACTCTGTTTAAATAACTCTGTATTAATTCACCACTTTAAAAACTTCTGGCTGGTGGTGGGTAGAACATGTCATCTTTAATCTTACGGCAACAGATGAGGTCCTGGCCCGGCTTTCACTAACATTCTCAAAGTCAAAATCTCAGCTCAAATCTGAGATTTTTCTCAAATCAGAAATTGAGATTGAGATTTATCTCAGTTTGGCTTTCACTAAAAAATATTGAGAAAAATCTCAACTTAAGATTTGAGATTTTTCTCAGATATATTGAGACAAGGTTTGGCTGTCTCAGATTATGTCTCAGTGAAGCTAAATTATTATCCTCAGGGGTATTTTTACTTTCTGCATGGTTATTTTGATAAATAAACATAATTTGACTTTTTTGGCAATTAAGTTCCTATTATTTTCATGTACTTAGTAATATATTGACTGATTATTGTTTGTAACATCATGCGCTCTAATTCATGACGTCATGAAATTATGACGTCACAATAATCATACTAAAAATGATTTATTGAATTTTGTTTGTTTTCTCTTGATGTACATTCATTCTTGGTAACTTATTTTCATTAGCATTCAAATTTTCACACATTTGCAATTGCTTTTTGGTGTTTTTGTTATTGTTTATTTTTTTGTTGTTGTTTTTTTTTAATAAAACAAGAAAATATAGATCTACTTAATGTAATAAATATACAAATATTTCCCTGTTGCTCATCTTACATCAAAACAGCAACTATATACATGATATACTTTGTAAAATAGAAGCTCGATCATCAACAAGGCACATTAAGATAGCCGCTTATGTCTTGAGAAAAAACAGTCTCAGTTGAGAAAATTCTCAAATGTTGAGAAAAAGTTTAGTGAAAGCTAACTTGAGATTTTTCTCAGGTGAGTTAGAATCTCAGTCAATATTGAGACAATCTTAAGTTGAGATTTATCTCAGTTTGAGAACGTTAGTGAAAGCCGGGCCTGGAGAATACACAAAAAACAACTTTTAAAGTCATCATATAACACACAAAAACTACACACATGCAATAGATACATTTTGAATATGACCAATCAAACTAGAAATGACTTTAATTGGGGCACCTTAAAATGTTCAAGAACTACTGTCTAGAATACAATGCCTTACAGGTTAGGTCTAATTCCATCCCAGGATTACAACCATTAAGTACAGTCAAACGTGTATTAAGCGACCGCACAAGGTAAACACCAAAAATGGTCGCTTAATGTAACGGTCTCTTAACACAAAGCATGATATTAAAGTCAAAATTTAAAAATGACATCTTTCTTTTGTGGAAGAAATGTTTCTCAACTTTATTTATATAAATGTTGAATAATTAGTACACGCCGATAATCTAAATGGATGCTTATGTAAAAAAGAACTTTCTGATATTTATTGACAAAACATTTTTGATCCATTACGTACATGTTTGACATTTTTCCAGATTTTTTTTAACTTCTCCGTTGTTTTCCCTTGTCTCCAACACGAAAACCCTATTAGAGAAACTATTTTCTGTTGTGCATTTTTGCATTTGAAATAAACAAACTACATCTAATTGTTATGATTAATTTAATTGCTGATCAAGTTCAAGGTCAATTCAATGCAGTCTAAATGTCAACAAGTGAAGTGACCATATCAGTAGGGGCGAATTGTTGCATTGTTTATCTGATTTTATTGGATAATACACGTCATGAGTATACTTAACTTCATTTGCATACGCTAAAACGTTTTGGGAAATAGAGTTTTTCACACATTTATTTGTTGTGTTTTAATTGTTGACACTTGTGACATGACAAGGCGGCATTCTCTAAAAACACAATTTCTTGACATGTAAAAGCGGTCGTTTAATGAAAAGACTGATCTCAATTCTCAATTAGCTGACTAATTGGCGGGTCCACTGGTCACGTTGAGCAAAAGTCGATTAAAAGATTATAGAGGAGAAAATGATCGGGGGGGGGGGGGGGGGGGGGGGGGGGGGGATTTTAGTGGACATTTAGACAAAAAAAGTCGCTTTAATACAACATGGTTGCATGGGCAAGTTAGACTGTATTGTCTTTTTTAGCCACAGAACAGTTTCTGTGTAGCTTAAATGTGCAATTAACAATTTTAATTTGATTATTTTTGGCAGTAATACAGGTATCTTTATACAGAAGAGATATACCTATATTTAAAGATATTCATTAATAGACATATCTTTTGTGTAACATCTTAAAATGTTATAAATAAGCTCATTTATGCTGATATTTCAGGTATCAAGTAATGAATGTAAGATGATTGGATGCAGCAGAAATGAATTCTTTTGAACGAGCAGTTGATTATGCTGAGGTAAATTTATAGTAATTTTATTGTAATATATGCTTAAGTTAATTTCTCATATATTTACACTTAACTGAGAATTAAGAATGTTATAAATAAAGATAAGAGAAAGATAAGGTAGTTGTGAAAGATGTTCTGAGATTTAATTGTAAGTGTCTTACTCTCTCAAATGATAGGCTACTAAGTCTTGTATTTTAGAAATTGAGAGATGTTAGCAATAAATTAAACACTCATGCCAGTACTGAAGTTCAACATAACTGCTTAGTAAAACTTCTTACAGATTTTAAAATCACACTTAGGCTTGTAACAGAATGTACAGTTGCTCAAGGCTCATGATACGATACAATACACATATATGTATGAAAGAATACACAAAAGGGTGAACAGGCATCTTCCACTTTTAAATGATAGCAAATTGCCATATGACATTAACAGTGTTAGTGTTACTTATTAAGTTTAACTCTATCCAAGGAACAAAAATCTCTAATGATACACATCCCCACCCTTATTGAATCTTAGAAAGAAGACAAATGAAAGTACTGGAAAATGCTTTATATGCATCAATTTATAATGCATATTAATGTCATAGAAGTCAGGTTGATACTTCAATGAGATAGCGTATAAGGAAGGATTGAATTGTGTAGCCTACCGGAATGTCTATTAATATATTCATTCAGTTTATAAAAAGAGTGGGGCAGTCTTTACATTTTAGGCAGATTTATACTTTTCCAACAATTGTTGTTCAATCACCATTATAACAATCATTCGTTTTTGAAAAATAAAGTAACTTCAGCTCGACTTGACAATAAAACAATGAGCATAATATCACTTTAATTAAACATGTATTGTTAGTTTAGTAATGATCATTCAAACAAATATACATGCATAAATGTTAAAGTATATGATTTGATAAGTCTTATGATTATTTGAAATATTTTGAAACACAATTTTCTTTACTGATGTTTATAACTTAAACTTTTTTGAAATTGCAAGCAGTTTCTAGATTTATAACAACAGCTGTTGAAATGTTTACTTTTATTGTTTTATAAAATCAATATGATCTTTTGAATAAAATATGTTGTTAGAAAGTGGGAGGAGTTTACTAGACATAAAAAGTTAATGAGTTTTTAATTGACAGTTGGGAGTTGCATGGGTGTGCCTTATTATTTAAATTTCAAGAATAGATTTTTTGAGTATTGAATGAATGTAACATTGTTGTAAAATAATGCTTAAAGACAAATACTTGTATGTTGATTGGTATATATTTTGTTAATACAGAGTTTGTGCTATATTTGATTTTTAATCTGACGATTTTTCCTTTAAATCTCCTATGTCCTTTTCAATTTTGACAAAAAAATCTGCTTTTTAAAATTAAGAAACATTGTTAAAAATTAAAGGAAAAGCCAGTTAGAAAAAATCGGTAGTATAGTTAAAATGGGGGGGAAAAAAAGAAAAACTGAAATTGGTGTTACCGTTATCATTTCTTTTTTGTTTAAAAAAATTTTAAAAAATGCTTTTTGGTTTTTTCAAAAATCTTCAAATGGCTTAAATTAAAAAAAAAAAAAATATGATAGATACCAAAATCACCTGATTATCTTATAGGAACCCCACTGAGGTCATTATGCCTAAAAAACTTGAAATTTTTCATTTCTAAAAAGGTCCACTGGGACACTGAAAACAGAAGCTATGCAAAATATAATAAAGAAATATACTCAGAATTAAATTCAAAATAATGTTTTTAATAATTCATAGCTCAATTTAAGTTAAATCATTTAATGCTTTTCATTTTAGGTTATTTTTCACATTATAATAAGTTATTCTGGAAAAAACTGATTGAGCTAATGATATGAAATTTTGCACACAAGTTACTTGTCCCGACCTGAATCAAGTGCAAAAATCTTTAAGAAATATTTCCAGTCTGATCATGTCAAAAAGCTCAGTGGAGAGTCCCTTTATAATAAAGATAACTTTTGAAAAGGTAAACAAAATATATACACTGTTACGCTGTCTTGTACACTTAAGTTTGTGTATCCGACATGTATTATATGTCTACATGAGTATATTATTTACTGTTGAGATTAACCTTTAATTGAGTATTATTGTTTCAGTACCTGGTGGAGTTAAGTAAGCAGAATCCAGCAGCTTTGTTGAGCAATCCAGTCAACACTTCAAGTAAAGGGTATTTATCATTTATTTACAGAACTTAAAGGCCCATTATGCCTCAGCAATGCTATCATTTTATTTTTTTCAAAAACTTTATATTTTTGGTATCTTGTTGCAGTTTTAAAAACATTCCATGTTTTACTTCTTTTGCTCTGTTGGCAATGGGTATTTTCATAGTGAGTATTTTGTATGGAAGTCTAAATACTCCTTTGTTAACATTTTAACTACGCTTTATGACACATTTATGAGTCCCCTACCGGTTTACCGGAGGGGACTTTAGGTTTACCCTCCGTCCGTCTGTCCGTCCGTCTGTCCGTCCATCAGTCCGTCCGTCCACAAAACTGGATCCCGCAATAACGCAAAAAGTACTTAAAATATTTTAATGAAACTTGGTATATGGATAGATGGCAGTATGGAGATTATGCACGTCTTTTTCTTTTCTTCCTATGTTGAAAATTCTGGTTGCTATGGCAACAAATAGACTGAAAATATGGCAAATTTTACACATAACCTGGATCCCGCGATAACGCAAAAAGTACTGAAAATATTTTTATGAAACTTGATATATGGATAGATGGCAGTATGGAGATTATGCACGTGTTTTTCTTTTCTTCCTATGTTGAAAATTCTGGTTGCTATGGCAACAAATAGACTGAAAATATGGCAAATTTTACACATAACCTGGATCCAGTGATAACACAAAAAGTACTGAAAATATTTTTTGAAATTTGACATATGGGTAGATGGCAGTATGGAAATTATGCACATCCTTTTCTTATCTTCCTATGTTGAAAATTCTGATTGCTATGGCAACAAATAGACTGAATTTCAAGATTTCTGATTCTAGTTTTTAAGTTTTTCACTATAAGTTCTTTATTTCTTAAGGTATTTTCTTCAAACTTAAATATAAGTTGCTTGTCATCAACCACATCATATGTGACAAGGTTTACAACTCTAGCACAAAATTTATCAGAATTACCTCCCTTGAACTTAAAATTTTCATGAAAAAAAACATTGCTTTTTAATAACTTCTTTTTCTGAATGTATCTACTTCAAACTTCATATAAATGTTTCTTATTATCACTCAACATTTGTGAGTGTTCAATACTCTAGCAAGACTATTTCCAGAATTATGCCCCTTTTAAACTTGAGAAATTGGTAATTTTTTTCTCCAACTTCTTCAATCATGATAGGATTTTAAAAATGTTATATTTTGATAACAGGGATGTTTAAAAAATAACTTTAGAGTGTCCTTCAGTCCGTCTGTCTGTACATAAAAACTGTTTCCTGTGATCACTTTTAAAGAACTTTTTCAACAAATTTACTTAAAATAGGAACATAAGTGAATGGCCAATGGCCCTTCAGAATGTTGCTTGGGCTCTTACCGGTAGGGGACTTATGGATTGCTTGCAATACTATGATAATTGCTTGTTACATTAGGGGCGTCCGTGGTCAAGTGATTAAGATCGTTGACTTCAACCACTGGCCCCTCACCGCTGTTGGTTCTGAAACCCGATAGGGACTTTGGATTCTTTCATGTGAGGAAGCTATCCAGCTAGCTTACAGAAGTTGGTGGTTCTACTCAGGTGCCTGAGCTCTTCCTCCACCACTAAAAGCTGGAACGTCACGATATTGCCTATACTGTGTCAATGTGACATAAAACCCAAACAATAATACACATTTCTGCACAATCAGCGCAACTTTCATCAGTTGTTTAACATTTAATATGCTTTAAATCCATTATTAAAACATTAATAAACACATGCTGGACATTTCTTAAGAATTGAAAAATATTGATAATGTGCCTTTAATACAATTTATCATTTCATTTGAAAGGGCATAATGTTATTCCCCTTGTCATTCAGCTGTCTTTTGGCACTCACATGCAGGTTATTAGGTGACTGTAAGGGCTATTCATGACACCTCAAATGGTCAAAATTAATGTTTATCTCATTGAGAGTGTAGAACCCACATTTAAATGATACATTCAAAATCAAAATGTTTTATCTTACATTTTTGAGTCCACTGTTTATCATTGATGTTCTTCATTCTTTACTTAAATGTTCATCTCATTGAGACAATGTTACATCTCCCTGCTTAGCTCAAAAGGGCAAGTGTGAAACTTGTAATCCAGGGATGGCTGGTTTGATCCTAGGGAGGGGCGAAATATCTCCCATGATAACTGATCTTGGACATTGAGTCTGTCATTTGTCGTCACCACTGGTTTAGATATAATGAGGGAGAAGTGGTCAGTCACTGGTGGAGAATTTGATAGTTTTAATACTGGTTAGTTATCCAGTATAGCCAGTTAGGCGGATTGACAACCAAGATATGAACTAAAATTATGTTAAAATAGGCATAAAAATCAAACAGAACAAAGATTTGTAGTGCCCTGCTTCAATGTCATAATTTTAAGTCTGCAAAATATATGTCCATGTAACATGTAATACGGTTATATGATTATTTTGTTGAGATTATGTGCAGAGCTAGCATTTTAATGGGCCCTGGTGCAAGATCAAAGGTAAGAGTTAGCATTTGTGTTGGCTCGATATATCGTTTGCAACTTTAAGGATGTTCACAATATTCGTCATTTTGAAGTGTGATGAAAGTTTTGGTGGTCTCAGAATTGAGGCCTGCTGTGGCTTGTGTTGCAGATTTCTATATATTGAATGAGACATTAACAAATCAAAATGAAATGCTTTATATAATTACAATGTATAATTATATGTCAACATTTTTGTTTTCAGGAAGTCTATTCACCAGAAGTTATTGGAACTTTATATTGAAGAAACTGGTAAACAATCAGATGAAAAGGTAAGTTTTGTAGTTGTAGCAGTTTGTAAGGTACAGTAAAATATTAATATATTTACAGTAAGTACCAAATATTTTCCTTCATTGATGTTTACTAAAACTAGCAAGCTTCCTCTTGTTCAAGGATACAGATTTTGTTTTCATTCTTTGTACACTTTTTTCATAGATATATTTTACCAAGTGAGTTAACTCTTGCCATGCTAAATTATAATCCATAAAAACACAGGATATATGTTTCATTGATAAGTTTCATTAGATGTGAATCTTGAAATTTTATATAGAAATTTGCATGTAAACATTGACTTACAAATAAGAAATTTTTCTGTCAAAGTTAATAAATAATAAAATAAATAATAAAATAAATAATAAAATAAAGTTAAAAATCAGAATACTACTGTGGAGAACTATCAACACAAATTGCACACTTTTCATACAAATTTTAATAAATCTCAAATAAATACATAGCTTTATAGAAATAGAAATTTATTGTACATTCTTTATGAAAAATGGTCTTGTCCAGTTCGAACATGGGTCATCTCTGATGAAAAACTAGGTCACAGGAGCTAAAAATAGAAAAACCTTGTTAACACTCTAGCGGTCACATTTTTGCCTCAATCATCATCAAACTTGGTCAGGATGCTTATCTTGTTGAATGTACTGCCCGATCTTGATATGTACAGGTTGCACGGGTAGTTTCAGTCACTACCAGCAGACATACAATGTAGGTTAAAGCAGATCTAGCAATAGATACATGTATTTGTCAGTATAGACACCACAATCCGGTCTGTATGTGCAAATTTGATACAAAATAATAACTCAGTTATATAGAAATGATGATGTACATGTATTTGGTTGAATTTGACTTTTTTGACCTGTCAGCATACATAACATGATAAGGATTAAAATCATTGAAATAAGGTAACATGAACTGAGGATATTTTAATTAAAAAATTTTTTTTATATAAATATAGCCAGTGAAACATGTAAAGTTGTCAAACCTATCCACATGTATCATTGTATATTGTCATTATAAAAGCTGAAAAAATATTTCATTTGCAAGGTGTCACTTAAGACATTGTAACATGTGGTTAGTTTATTGTGAGTTGCGACCTGTATTGGACATGAACCATTGTTTCATTGCCTATCATAACATTTTATCTGACAGTTTAAGACTTTTATTGTGTTTTAAATGTTTTGTCTATACCTTGCTGATGTCATATGCTTATCGATTCACTTGAAACATCTTGATTCTCTCTTAATCTTTATCTTTGTAGTTGATATGAACTAATGTAGAATTGTTGAATTTTCGAAGTTACATAAGATTTTTTCAAAAAGGGTCGGCAATTACAAATTACTGCTCAAAATCAAATCTTTGTAACTAAGAATTTCTCTGTAGATCTCTATAAATTTTTACTCTAAAATTTGTTACATCATTTTAAAAATGTACTGTCATGATGAGTAGAAAGTGTGGTCAACGTTAATAGGGAAACTATAGATCAATGTTATGTTTTTTGAACTTCCCCTAACCATGGCAAACCCAATTATAAAAAGATACTTGTAGCAAGTTTGCTTGGGTCTCAGTATGATAGGGAAATTGCTAGATTTCAAGGTTTCAATTGTTTGGTATCAATTTGATCTGACTGAATGGAGTATGCTTTGGTAAAGATTCACTATAAACTTGGGCAAAAAGTAGGCTCAGTGCTAACAGTATCTTACGAAATAAAATTGTTAGAACTAAGAGTTTGATAACCCACTGAAAGTACATATACTACATGTCTTTTGGGTGAGACATTAAACCAAGGCAAATGTGAAAATACTGTATGTACTATAAACTAGTATATATTTTACTTACATTAATCACAGCTTTTCCTGAATATTATTTTCATGTTTTTAGCTCGACTATTCGATAAGAATAAGTAGAGCTATTGTAGTCACCCGAGCATCGGCGTCCGCGTCGGCGTCGGCGTAACCACTTATGTTAAAGTTTTTGTAATAGTTTAAATATTTTCAAAGTCCATTGACATATTGCTTTGAAACTTTGCACACTTGTTCACCATCATTACCCCAACCTGTAAACAGGAGGAGGTAACTGTATCAAGCATTTTGACAGAATTATGCCCCTTTTTCGACTTAGAATTTACGTTAAAGTTTTTGTAATAGTTCAAATATTTTCAAAATCCATTGACATATGGCTTTGAAACTTTGCACACTTGTTCACCATCATTACCCCAACCTGTAAACAGGAGGAGGTAACTGTATCAAGCATTTTGACAGAATTATGCCCCTTTTTCGACTTAGAATTTACGTTAAAGTTTTTGTAATAGTTCAAATATTTTCAAAGTCCATTGACATATGCTTTTGAAACTTTGCACACTTGTTCACCATCATTACCCCAATCTGTAAACAAGAGGAGGTAACTGTATCAAGCATTTTGACAGAATTATGCCCCTTTTTCGACTTAGAATTTACGTTAAAGTTTTTGTAGTAGTTCAAATATTTTCAAAGTCCATTGACATATGCTTTTGAAACTTTGCACACTTGTTCACCATCATTACCCCAACCTGTAAACAGGAGGAGGTAACTGTATCAAGCATTTTTTTTACAATCAAGCACTTAGAATAGTCGAGCGTTGCTGTCCTACCGACAGCTCTTGTTATTTTCTTTTATAACTTCAGAAATTACAGTGTAACACACATTTGCTGAGAAAGTTAGTGCGACGTGAAAAATTAAACTGTTTGATATTAAACCTGTATCCCGGTAACGATGGTTACTCTTTGATGTTGAGAAGTAAAACTGGTGTAGAAACTGAAACATGTAAACTTCCATATGAGGTCAGTGTCATACATGAGATATGTCCCTAATTTATAATTATGTTAAAGGGACTCCTCTGTGTTTTTTGGCAAGACAGGGCTAGAAAAATATTTTCGAGAATAACGTTCCATTTGATGTAGGCCTAGACCTGTGAAAAATTGCAGATCATTCACTGTCTCTGTTTTTGTAAAAAAAAAATTCTATTTGTGAAAAATGAAAAAAAAATGAAAAGCATTGCACTCGGGCCGAGCTAAGAATAGCACATAAATACGATTTTCAATTTATTTCTAAGTATATTTCTTAATCATATTTTGCATATCTTTCTTTTTAAGTGCCCCAGTTGAACTATGTAAGAAATTATAATTTTCTGATTTTTAGGCTTTTGAACCACAATGGAGTTCCTTTAATTGTGATGTGTTTGATGCACTGGTTTATAGGGATGTCCAAACTCCATAGGTTATATCCTAGTTGTTAGGCTATAAAGGAATGTCCCTGCTTTATACTCTAGTTGTAATGTGTTTGATATGGTAATAAACAATTATACTTTGAATATATCAAATAAAGCTACAGTATGGTACAATGTACATTAAATGTTATATTTTACATTGATCCTTCTGAGATGATATAATGGGTTTGCGACCAGCATGGATCCAGACAAGCCTGTGCATCCGTCCAGTCTGATCAGGATCCATGCTGTTTGCTATCAGTTTCTTTACTTGTTAAGGGTCTGTAAGCGAACAACATGGACCCTGATCAGACTGCACGGATGCGCAGGCTGGTCTAGATCCATGCTGGTCGCAAACCCATTATGTTGGTTTTGTCGTGACGCGGCTCATATATACATATTTTGATAACTCAAAGCTTAAAGTAAGAGACCTTTTGTTATATATGAAACAGGCTTTTAATCTTTTGGTTGCAGGTGACAGAATTGCTAGACTACATAGATGATTCAGAGGTACAGTGTCATTTTAATGTATTTTCTAAATGAATGGTATTATTCTAAATGTTTCAAAATTAAATATTTTTTTATTATAACTAAGTGGTCATGTGCTTTTGAGTTTGAAACTACCCATAGTTTATGTAAAAAGCTTTTATATGAAAATGTTTAAATTATTCAACAGTATAGATGTTTATTACATAGCAATTATTACCTCCCCTTGTCGCCATTTTGGGGTCATTCCCAATATATCATAATTATGCTTATGATAAAATAAAAATCACAAATAACTCTATCATCTTTATGAAAACTAATAAGTAAATTTTTTACATATTTGTGTTTTAATAATATTTTGCTGCATATATTTAAAAGAATTTGACGGTAAATATTGTTTTATTTTTTTTATATTTTGCCAATAGAATATTTAAAATGGCTGCCTTTTTTTACTATTGTAAAATTGGGAACTATCTAAACAGTCATGGAAGCATAGTCATAGTTGTTGTCTGGTGTGGCTATAACAGAAGTAGACCAAGAATTATAGAGTATTGATTCATTGTTACTTTGGTTACGTTCATAAGATGTTAAAAGAAGGCAAGTTTACATTGATATGTTCAAATTATAATTTACAAAATATGATTGTTTATATTTTTAGCTTCCTCCATTCCTTGTAGATGTGCTGGAGAAAGCACAGGTTTGTTATTAAATATTTAATATTTAAATTTATCATTTATTTACTTGTTATGTAATAGTCAATTTCTTAACCTATGTGTAAAATACATATAGTTTACAGCCATTCAGCCTCCACCACTGATTTGTATGATTTATGTGTAGAAGTTGTCAGTTATATGTTGAAACAGACATTAGAAATAGCACAGTAACCAGGAAGACACATTAAGTAACAGTCCACTGGTGGGTGACTGAAATTTTCCTTTAAATCCCTTAACCCAAGAAACAAACAAACAAAAACAAGTTTGTTTATGCTTTTCAGTGTAAGTAACATCATTTGCCATGTTATGGCAATCTTACAGAATGTTTGTTTTTCTCTGTAGATGCCTAGTATTGTGAATAAATTAATGCTTAGTGTGGCTTCTTAATGTATTATTATGTTGACGTATGTCCTTAACAGTGACACTGTGGCATAAAAACTGAACATAAATACATTATTTACAATAATATTTTCTGATCTGGCTTCAGTCACTGCACTAACTTTGAATCCATGTCCAAAGATACATATTTAGATATGGAGCCCGATGCATGTATCCCAGTTGTGCTTCATAGCTTAAGGTTTGAATTTCACTATGCTTGTGAAACTTTCTTTGTGAAAAATGAGTTATTTAAAAAAAAATTATGCCTGTCTGATTAAATGGTTTCTGGTTTGCTACTAAACTTACATCTCTAACAGTGTCAGTATGAATACATTACAAAAGAAAGGAATAATAATTATGTAGAATCTAGGTGAGAGAAATTAATGGATTTCAGGGAAGAACCGTTTGCTGATGTTGTTATTACTCGTGGTTCAACCAGTTTGCTACTTTTGTGGTTATATTATGATAATATAATGTTATAAATGTGTAAAAAAAAAAGAGAGCAATAAAATATGTTAAAATTAAAATGGATTACAACCGTAACATTCATGATTTGGTCATTCTTGACATGGCATATTCTACTAGTGATCTGATATTTTTGTACCAGTTGACATTGAAATCATTTAAGTATTCACCAGTGGCCCATGATTTGTTATCCTAAGCATTCTACAGTGCTAGTTTGATACACTTTTCTAATGACCTAAGCATTCAGTATTGAAGAAATTTGGCAGATACATTAAATATGCTTTGATGTTTAAAAATATCCAACTGTTTTTTTATTTTTCTTATTGAACATTTTTTAAGATTTTCTAACATACACAGTAAAGCTGAAGGGGGGAGTTTAGGACACCCAGTAATATAAATGATGTTGAATATTTTCTTGTTTGAAAGTGCCTGGATTGAGTTCTTTGCATATAAATATATTTATTTCTTAGTTTAAAATATTTTAGGTGAATGTTTTCTACAATGGTTGTGTTATAGTGGAGGTGAGAGATTTCAGGCGAGCTACTAATGGAACATTTGACATGCAATATGTTCTCCTTAAACCAAATACACAGGTAACAATGACCTCTATCTGTATTTTAAACAGAAAACAAAATGTGTAATTTTAACATTTTTAGTTTATACTAATTATTATATTCAGTTGCCAGATTTAAGTTACCTAGATTTTTATGCTACCACTATTTAGGTGTAGGTGGGGGAATATATACATGTAGATTTGCCCATGTCTGTCTCCGTAGACTCTGATAAAACTGTGGAATGTGGGGGAACCCATGTCTTAATGGATGTGTTACTAGTTTCCTTTAAAGAGAACTTTTTCTTATAAAGGAAAATGGAAAACATGAATACTTCATTCTAAAAGTCACCAGACTTTAGTTAGGCTAAATTCTTTTCCAGAGGATTAACAGTAACTTTGAAAGTTTGAAGTTTTAAAAGTGATGGATCTAGCTTTTATTTTTTTGTGATATTTTACTTTGATTTAATAATAGCTGTCACATGGTTTTAGAGAATTAAATTGATTTTTTTTTTGTAATTATAAAAGTTAGTTTTTCTTGTTAAATTGTGGTAGAATTTTTCAGTACTTTACAGACATTATACATCAAAGAATTCTTCATAAAGTTAATGCTATATGTTATTTATGTGTTAATACAAAAATATGAAATGCAATTAAAGAGGTTTAAGACATTGACTTCAGACCACTGAGGGGCACCTGAGACTTCCTCTACAAGTGAAGCTGGAAAGTAGTCATATGACATATACTATAAACCTCAACAAAATAATGAAAGGAAAAACAATTGTTAGCAATTATTTTTATTGAGGTAAATGTAAAGAATAACAAAGTAAAGAAGGAAAATATTTATGTAAGGATAGATACATTTGTATATTTTATGGTACATGTTTATAAATGTTTGCAGACTTTGTTAAGCGACATCAACAATTTAACAAATGACGGCAATGTTTGGACACAGGAAGATCTGTTTATGTTGGAGAGCAAGTTACTTCTGGCTACAGAGGAACCACTGTGCCTCGATCCATCACCAGCTGTGGTACTAGTGGCTAACCGGCAACAATATGACAGGAAGAAACTTAACACTCCCCTCCTGAAGAGGTTCATGTTGATCATAACCTAACTATATTTTAACAAAAAGTTCACAGATAAAGAACTGACTGTTAGAAATAACCTGTCTGAACGTTGGTGGTTTTACTCTGGTGCAGGTACATGCCTGAAATAATGCATGGATGGGCAACTGCGATTCTCCTCCATCAGTAAAGCTGGAAATAATGACCTTTACTGTGTTTTTGAGACGTAAAACCCAACCAAAAAAAAAAGTCACCCGTATTGAATGACTTGCAGAGATTTTTATTGACAAGAACCTTATCTATAAAAAAATATAATTGTTTTAAGAATAACCTTGTCTGATGAAACAAACTTAAGTGATTGCTTTCTATAATTCAAAGATGTCAAGTCCAATATCATCTGTCATTATATTTTAAATTTTTGATGAGATTTAGTTTTTCTTTTATAGAAAAAGTCTCCATAATTTTGTGATCATCCCTGGTATACATGAATAAAGGGTCTCAATTGTGTTGTTGTAAAATAGGTTTTATGAAGCAAGCTTCTTACTCAAATGCCTCCGTATTTAAGTTAAAGTTCATCTTCTTTCTAATATAAGCTTAGTATCTTCAATATTTAGAATGTTTTTAGGTATGTAAAGATGTGTATTTACAATGTATATAGGTTTGTAAAGAAGTATATTTACAATATATATAGGTTTTTAAAGAACTATATTTACAATGTATATAGGTATGTAAAAAAGTATAACCAGTCTGCCGCCAACAGAAAGCGAAAATTTGCTGCATGTAGTGCACCTAGTGAACTTAAACTTCATGACTTCATCAGTAAAAAGAAGGATAAAAAGACGAGCAGTAAATTTGGAAAATCTGTAAGTGCTTGTAATAGATGAATGCTTTATTTTGGCTTTATTAGTAATAGAGTACATTGTAAGATTTACTTTAGTTGGTAAGTGCTAAAATATGTCTTATTTATCAAGAACAGCAGATGAGCTTGCATATCTCAGAGGTTTGATGGCCATCTATTCTGCAAACTGCTCAATACAGTTGAAGTCATTGAAGCATGTATTAATGCATAGATCCCTACAAGACCCTTATCTTTTCAAATTAAATTATCGAGTTAGTCGATTACAATTAGAATTTCACCACAAGATATTTCTTAACAAAAGAACACATCTCAGTGTCTGGGGTTAAATTTATTGTTATTCAGATGAAAGTTCAGGGTAGCGATCTATCAGTACCAGACTGTTATAACTTCAACAGGAATACAAATTGGGAAAATATTAATATTATGTCAGTGTGTGTCTTCCAATCTGTAATCACAATAATCCTAGTCATAGTCTGCTTCATTTGTTGTCTGTGTAAAGGGAGGTAATCTATGAGTTTGAAAAGGTTGTTAATGGAAACAGATGAATTGACAGAGATGCTGTTCTTAAATTATAAATAATGTTTCTTTTGAGTAATATGTTGTTATATGCTTTAAATAAAACTTCAAATTTTAATCTAAAATTATATCTTTTACAGGCTGTTGACTACTGGAAACAAAGTCCTGTAATATTATCAGCACCAGAAAGTGTGGATGTGGAGAGGTTTGCTAAAATCATGGAAAAACCTGAGAAAAACAGTGTTAAAGACAACACCCTGGTAAATGGTTTATTACAATAATTGTAATAATTGATATATCATAGTATTTATAAAGTATTGAGGTATTTGTTTGTTGTTTTATTCCAATTTAAATGAAAGTTCTTGATCAACAAAACTGAGGTCTGGCAATTTGACTTGAAACTCAGTTATGATGACAAATAGTTTCAGTGAAGTTTGTTCTTTCTAGTCACAGCCATGGTGTCCTTTTATTTTCTTGCATATCAATGAATGAATAGTGTTCTAAGGATGACATCAGTTTTCTGTTATGAATGAAGCTGTACTTTCATATTATGTGCTTCTTTAAGAAAAAAGTACTGAATGAAAGTACTAATCCCATGATTAATATGTAATATGCAATGATAAGAATCAAACACCAACTGTCATTACAGATGTGAGTATCTTTCATTGGGTAACTGTTTAGCATAAACTTAGCAGAGCCTTGTTACTGCTGTATACAGTTACCCTCAAAGTAGATATATGGGTCTGTACTGGCATCCGGTGTAAGGTTTTCATATGTTCTATGAAAATAACAATGTCTCATTGTAAGTTATTTATTTTACATAATTATGTAGATGACAGGTACAGGTCATTTTTATTCTTGTAAGTCAACTTTTCTTATGATTATAATTTGAGCCGCATCACAACAAAACCAACATAGTGCGTTTGCGACCAGCATGGATCCAGACCAGCCTGCACATCGCGCAGTCTAATCAGGATCCATGCTGTTCGCTAACCAGCCCTATTCCAAGTAGAGAAACTGATAGCGAACAGCATGGATCCTGATCAGACTGGGCGGATGCACTATGTTGGTTTTGTCGTGAAGCGGCTCATTTCATCTTTTGATTAAGAAGATTTGATGTAAGTATGTACTGTTATACAGAATCTAGTAGAAGAGCATGTATTAGAGAGAGACGGTATGCAGGATAAGAAGTTACTGGCCAAACTGACCATCTACCATCGTCCTGGTGATGATGCTCATCTAGGTGAACTTTACCTTGATCATGACTACATAGAGGAGAAATCTAAAGGAGCTACTTGCAGGTAAACTAATTTATGTGACTATTGATGACTGTCGGTCATTTTTTCAAGAAATGCAGATATTTTTATGACACCACTACTTAAAGATCTTGTATGTTTTGTGATTGATGTTGTTACTGTGTGTATACCATACATGCAAAAAATTATATATGTATAAATTATGCAAATAAAACAATTTTCCAACATCGAAGAATATGTAAAATGTGTACTGCAAATATTTGTGCACATAATATTTAATCAATAAGTTATATGTATTCATTTCTTATTGGAAACTTTGGCTTAGAATTTATAGAAAATAAATTTCTAATTACCTCCCTTTATTTACATGACATGTTAAATTCGGTGATATCTTTATAAATAATGCTTATTGGAACTTACAGTATCGACAAATTTTAATTTGAGCATCATATCTATGAAATAAAACCATGAAAAAAATGTGTTACAGGATCTTTAAAGATTGTGAGGAATGTTATTGTTGTTGGGTTAGTTTGTCTTTACAGCTTAAATAATGACCTTTAACATCTTAAGCAAAAGTACATTTTGAAATAAGACGTTGCACCTGGAATGACCTTCAATTGTGAATAAATTGTTGAAATTTTCTAGGTAATTGTTTGCTTATATTTGTAAAAAGGTTGTAATTTTTATTTGCTTCTAATGCCAGTTTAATTCATTATTGTTTTGAAGACATTTCCAATAGTTTCTTCATATTTTATATAACAAGAGACAATCAATGTTAAAACACGTCAGGAAATCAACCATAATATTAGGGAAATCAACATAATTATATACATATTTTATGAAAATATTTCATAAGTTGTAAACATTGTTCTCTGTTAATTCTTGTATTTAAATATTTGGTATTTTCTTTTGTTTTCTTCAGATTTCTGCTTGGAAATAAAGATTCAGTCAAAAAGTAAGTTTAATGGTAGTGTAGGTTTGTAAAGTACTTTCATCCTAGGTAGTATGTGTTTTCAAGATTTTTTTTATGGAAGTTGAATTGGTTGACATAGATACATGAGTAATTATCATATCATGTATTACTAGAATGTATCAGATCAAATTTTTGTTGTTTGTAATTTAAATCTTTCAAATTTGATTACACCACATTGACAAGGCAATAAAATGCTACTTATTTCTTGCAATATACCATTTTAATTGCTGGCACTAGTTGACCATCATGATAGTTTAATATTGGTCATACAGTGTGTACACAGCTGTAAAACCTATATTGGAACAAAGTGTATTAAATATAGATTTTAGGTGTGTATGAGATCTATAGAATCAGTAATGTATTCAGTAATTCATAATTACTCTTTATTTCACACCACCACCATTCTTTTTACAAGTTCACAGTTGTAACTTGGTTACTTTAAGTACAATATGGATTTGAGATGGATTTTTAGGATCCAGAAAATGAAAACAAGGCTATTTGGAGTGAATATGGATTTGATATTTACTTTTTGGACTTTCAGAATGAAAAAAGCCTAAATTCAGTAAATTAATAAGATTGGATCCAAATTGGATTTATATTGGAATATCACATGGTGCAAAAGCTGTGATTTCATTGGTGTGAAATTAAGATAGTTATTTATTTTATAATGCAGGTATTTATTAGTTTATATTATGTACTGCAGATATTTAGATCAGTTCAGGGAGATATTTACAGAGGAAGGTCGAAGGGCTGTTAAGATCACCACACAGAGACCGGGTCAGGCTCCTATAGTAACCTGTACACAGACAACACCAACAACCATTGCCACGGCAACAGTAAACCAAACTGCTACCAAACCTGTATCTACTGCTGCACAGGTAAAGTAATCAAATAACAATGTAAACATGTCTTAATATCATTTCAATGATTTAAACATTGTAATGCTTTATACGACATTAATAATGCCTGATCTGGTAAAACTTCTCCCATTATAGCATAAGTGAACATTCTCAAACTTGTTTGCATATTAGACATTTAAACGCATTATATTAGTATTTAATATTTAAACAAAGAAAAATCAAAGCTTGTATAGATCTTTATTATTTCAAAATCATATATTTTTTGAACAATGTGGCCTTTTAAAAAGAGAACTGTCAAGAATTTAAAAAGTTAGTATGCATGGTTAGTAATCAAAGTATTGTATAAGATTGACTAAAGAGTTCTGTTTAAAGTTGAAACAAGTTGCTTTGAAAAGAGGTGGTCATAGAACTGGCTTAAGAACTTAAACATTTGCTATATTTATGATCATGTTTGACTATATAATTATTGTTATGTTTCAGGCTGTAGAGTTATCTCAAAGTGCTACTATGAGTCTAGGTAGTTTAAAGAGATCTATGCCTATACAGTTATCATTGTCTATAGGTCCTACCTTAGGTACAGCCCAGGCTGCACAGCAGATCCAGCAAGCAGGTAGGTTATGTACATTTATGTCTCATATACCCAGTATAATCCAGGGATCACAAGTTTGATTTTTCCCTACTTCACCTGCAGAAATAAGTTTTTAAAGTTAGATATAAGTTTATGGTTAGGTGTACTAATGATTCACACTCTCTCTGCCAAAAAACCTGATGTGTCTTTTTGAGCAAAGAAAAATCTCTGTATTAGCATACATGCCATAATTTTTAGACTCATTTCCGGGACACTTTTCATTTGAAGGTGGGGCATTGATCATCAAACGTATTTTTTTTTAAAAATTACATAGTGGCATACAACCTATTACCGGTAATTACAACTTGCAAATTTAATGACACCATAAACAAAGTCAGAATGTCAATAATTTTTAACAGTTTTTCTATCTTTTTTAAGTATTTAGGCATCGTTAATTCAATCAGCCACAGAATAGAATAAAGTTATGTTAAGTTATGACAATTAGCCATGTCGTTTACCTGAAACATTCGTTGAATCTTGTAAATTTTATCACCTCGTATTTCGCGGTAATTTTCACGGTGTTTGACCACTAATAAATGCCTCCATTTATACTGGCCAGTTGGCCTTACTCAGGAAGTAATTAATCTTTTAATTGATCAAAATTATTGCCGATAATTGTTTATTGAAAATCATCACTCCAAGTACCATGGCCTAACTCAATTTCTCTGAGAATAGCAGCATATACTGCTTTAATGGCTGAGAAGTCATAAGAACTGTTCAAATACATTAATTTCTTGAGTAAATCTAAACGACCCTCTTTTTCAGTTTTACCAGTTCTAGATGACATGACAATTTCCAACTCTCCTGCTATGAATAGATTTAATTCAATATTTTCAAAACAAACATTTTTGGAAGCAAAATCAAATCTCAAGTTTGAATGCGGAAATCTTTGTCTGTTTTTGACCATGTCTGAAGACTTGGAAGTGATCCCTGATTTAGTGACCTGTTTCTTAACATTTTAGATGTTTTCTTTTTAGAATCTAAACAAAATTCTTCTGCCTCAGAGGATGAAAAGAAATAACTAGACTCATCATCGGACTCCGTACTAGTCTCTGATTCTGTCATTTCAACTAATCCCAATGTGTGTTGCTAATGATTTCTTAGCCTTTCTCTGCAATCAGTCATTTTGCGTAAAGAATCAATGTTTATACCTTTCTGATTCGAAGGACTGTCAAAGGCAGCTGCAATGCGAGTCTTCTTACCAGTGCTGATCTTCTTACTCCCTTTGTCCTTGGCGTGAAACGTTGAACCCAGGGGATTTAACGTATATGTTCTACTTGCGCCTAAAACGTTCGGAATTCACTCGTGATTTGGGTGGGGAAAGTGTTTCTACTTCTGGCTCTGCTGAAACTGACTTTTCTAACGAGGAAAACAAAAGCTTCTCTTTTCCAAAATCTGCTTTCTCAAAAGTTTAACTCTCTCTGCTCCTCTAAACGTCTTTGCTGTTCATCTAACTCATTTAAACGAGCTAACATCGCCTTTTTTCTTCCAAATTTACGTGTTTTACCGGTTTGTTTACTAGCTGACGGTGACTTGGTAGATTTCACTTCGTCTGCTTATCCGCATTGGAGTTTGACAGGATTTTCTCACTGTTCGTTTTCGACTTTTTAGGTTTCGCGCCCATTTCTTTGTCTTTCAATTTTTATGAACATCGTCAATCAACACCTTCACTCCTTCCTCAGCTAACATCTTATAATCAACTTTTTCTTTGTTTCTACTAGAAATTCTCTGCGAATTCATTCGGCGGGATATTCCCAATTCCGAGAGTTCCTTCCGTTCACACAATACCACAGTACTACATAATACAGTTCCTTTCTCTTGAAAAATAAATAAACTTCAACGATTTCTGACGATTACAGTTAAAACCGCCAAAAAAATTTTTAACAAAATTGAAGAACAAGTAAGAAACGACTGATAACTGAACGTGTCTGACAAAAACTGTGCAGATTACGCGCACTGTTGAATATTTATAGACGGCGTAGGAATACAAAAATTCAATGAACCAAAACAACTAACCCAGGTAAATACAATGACGTCACCAGACCTAAATATAGATAAGGAAAATCCTACGCCAATCCATAATTAAAAGATTTTCTATGAAGAAAAGGGCTTTTTAAATTTGGGAGGGGAAAAAAATTTAAAGGCCCAAAAAAAAATTTTTTTGGGGGGGTTTTTTTGGGAAAGGGGGCCCCCCCCCCAAATTTTTAAATATCAACCCAAAAGGGGGTTTTAGTGTCAACCCTTGCAATGCTGTTAGGGGAAAAATTTGGTTCAATTATTTAAGCGGTTTCTAGGAAAATTTTTACAAAAAACTTGGACAAAAAAATTATCCCCAAAAAAAATTAAAATTTCTTTGCTTCAAAGGGTAAAATTATTTTAAAATTTTTTTTACCGGGACATAAATAAATCTCGGGGACAGAACCCCTTAAATTTCCCGGGATTTTTTCCCGGGACATTAGGGGAAACGTTTTTGGCATGGTTTTGGTTTTTTTAGTAAACACTAAAACCCCCTTACAAATATGATATTGGGGGCATTATTTCTGGATTTGTTCACCTTTTAAAAATTTTTAAAATTTTAGAGCCAATATTATATTGCAACAACAGAGTGTAAATAAACAAAGTATTAAACAAAACTGTCTCCTGTATAAATTTGCTTTATCTGTTTTCATGGTAATGTAAAGTGTTTTATTTACCATTGTAAACTGCATTTTGGCCATCATGGTTGAAAAGTTTACAGTCTCTGACTTGCCCTTTACTGATTTTGGGTTTACTACTTCAATTATTTTACTTTAAGAAATTATGGAGCTTTGAAGTTTGTGTGTTTGTGTTTTATATGTAATACTAAGTTACATAACTGTTATTGAGACACATACAACATTGGTAACTAAAACTCTTGAAGTTCTTCAAAATGGTATTTGTTTATAAATATTTTTTTTTTTTTTTTTTTTTTTTTTTTTTTTTTTTTTTTTTTTTTTTTTTTTTTTTTTTTTGCAGGTACATCTAGTCAGGCAGCCAATCAATTCAACTTAACATGCAGTCTTCATCCATCAACCAATCACCATTAGCGACACAGAGATTACAGCAAGCTAGCCAGTCACAGTCTGCTTCTCAGAGGTTGAAACAGCTTGGAATACACACCAGTATAGCTTCCAGAAACAACACACCAACAGCTAGTCCTGTCACCTCACAGCCTCCTATTGGTAAATGTTGTGGCAAATATTGTCCATGCTTTACAATAATCATTTCTTAGCTTTCATGTACAATATGAATAAAGCTTTTATTAAGAAATTAAGAATAAATACTGAAAACTTGTTAAGAAAGATTTACATAAAATGTTTATTTTGTTTGAAAATAATTATATCTAATAATAGTAAAGCTTTCAAAACAAATTATTTAACCTCTTCCGTAAGTCACAAACTATTTGGGGGGGCGGCCCACCTCCCAGCAACAAAGTGTTGGGGGTTGTTCGGGAGTTACCTTTTTCCCAAAGCAACAAGCGGGTTAGCACAAGAATTTCCTTTTACACTTTACCCCAAAAACCAACGCCCTCCACCCGCCCCTTTTGGTAATCCCTTTTTTTCCAAGAACCCAGGTTTTGGTAAAGGAAGTCAACCCTTAACAGCAGGTCCCCCCTTCCCCCATACCCCAAATTATGGCAAAACCAACCCCGGGGCAAATGTTTCTGGGGTTTTTCGTACAAGGGTGGGGTTTTTTCTACTTTGTAAAATTTCCCTTTTCCTATTCCATTTTTTCAAAAATTTTTCCCAAGCTAATTTGGTTAAGTTCACTTACTAAATTTAAAATTAAACTTTCCCACTGTCAGTTAATTGGAAATAAAAAAGGAAAAGAATAGAATTTCTTTCATGGTTGTTAAAAATTCTATCCAGCTTTATGGAATTTGTGGTGATTCTAAACTCAGATGCCTGAAACTATTTGTAATGAGGAGAATCCACTGTCTCCTTTGGTAAATTAAATTTTGAAAGTTAATGAGAAATATATTTCTATGTAGAAACCAAGGAAAGCAAAGGCATATTTACTTATTTTTTTCCGTGAAGATATTGTAAACTTTAAGTACTGAAAAGCTTTCAGCCAAAAATATTTCTTTCCGAGTCTCGAGACAATGATATACTTGCTTGGTAATAAAATAATATCATTTGTTCTTTATTGTAGTTGCTGATAGATAATGTCCTTTATACCAACTAGATTATTGTCTATCTGAAGCATAGAATAGTAACATTCCTTTAAAGAGTATAACCTATGCTCTGTAAAAATACTTTTTTTTGCAGAAATTTTATTAAAATTTTTTGGAAAAATTTTTTAAACTGAATATTTTAAAAATTTGAAGGGGAAAATAATGCATAACTAATGTTTGGGGAAAACTGCTTTTTCCCTTTTTAAGGGCTGATTTTTTTGGGGATCTTTTGGTTTGGTACCAGAATTTTTTTTAGTTTGATTGGGGTTAAAGAATAATTAGCTTTTAGAAAAACAGCCTTTCAAATTTCTTTTCCCTTTGGAACCAACCAAAGGGGTACTGGGCAATGAGGGGAAAGATTTTCTTTGTTTGTACGGAAAAACGAACTTGCCCCTGAGGGGAAATTTAAAACCTATTGGGGCTATGATAAAATTAAAGATTACTAGTCAAACGTGAAAAGGGAATCCCGGGGGATTTATGAAGCAGAATGAATTTTTAACCAAATTTCTGTGTGTTTTCCCAAAAGATTTTAAAATCTACTTTTTTTTAAAAAGAAAACGAAATTTAGAAAATTTAAATTTTCAAAATTTTCAAATTTAACAAGAATATATTTTTTTTATAAATTTTTTGGAAGAAGAAGAAAAATCCCCGAAATAAAGGGCATATTTTTTTTAATGAGTCTTGCTTAAATTTTGCTTGAATTTTGTGGGTATCGTGTTTGGGTTTTTTTTTTATTTCCCCAATAAATTTTATGTGTAAAAGGAAAGAAGGTAATACATCGGGGTACAACCAGCTTTAAAGTCATCCACCCAACAGGGTGGGGCCCAAATATCAACATTCCCAAATTATAACGGGGAAATAAAAATCCAATTTAAAAAATTTAACATACAAAATCCCCCACGGGGCCTTTTCCCCGGTATGAACTTTTCCCCAATCTACGGGACTACAAAAAAATCCCGGGTATACCATTAATAACCCACATTGTTAGTTTTAGCTTTTCAAATGAAAAAAAAAAAAAAAAAAACTATTATCATGAAGGGGGAAGATTATTCCCTAAAACGATTGTTTGAAAGTTAATACCCCCTGGTTAAGTTTTTCCCTTAAATTGTTGTATCTGGCACAGAGAAAAGTGAGGTATGCTGTCCATAGACAGATCTTGTTACACATTTTTATCAAATTATGTTCATAACATTACTGTCAGTTAATGTATGCTGCTGTTGTTATGTTTACACTTAATCTGTATATTTGGCTGTCACCTTTAATCATTTTATTATTGATATACCTTACATTCTTAGTATTTTGTTACAGAGTTAAAGCAGTAAGAGCCCATTACACAAATTATGTATAGTCCCAAAGGTTTTAAACAAAAATTTTGTGTTTATGGGTTTTTATGATTAAAACACATTCTTTTGGAAGGGGGTGTTTTTCCGGGCAAAAGGTACATGCCTAAAATGTTAAACACCTGGAGACTGACCTATTTCAGAGAAAGGCAATGAAAAAAGCTTTTAAAGTTTGGGTGCAACATGTTTATTTCAAAAAATGAAAGTTAAAAAAATAATGTATTTTTTTCGATGCAACAGGTTCCCTGTCTTTAACCCGGAGGGAAAGTTATTAGGCCCCAAGTTTCCTATCAGTATGATAAACACTAACTCCCCTTTTTACAAAAAATCAACAAGGAATTTCTAAAAGGGGTTTCTTTGGCGGTTCCCCATTTTTCTAATACAACCCCCGGGAAGTATTGTACCTGTGTTTTGTATAAAGTGGGGTTTTTTATTTTGACTATTATAGAAAAAAAAAAAGGTTTTTAAAATGACCATGTATAGGAAACAAAAAGTATGAACATTACTATTTAAATAGAAAAAAAGTAGGTTGTTGTGGCACCAAATTACTAAAAATTTCAACCATCCAATAACTTACAAATTTGATATATGCATAGAAAATGTTGTGTTGTCATCATGTAAGAGGCCTGATTCTTAAACCCTTGATAACTACATTTTTAGAATCCTACTCAGTTTTAACAGAATTCTAGGTTTCCTCATGGTGTTGAGTTTTTCATGGATAATAAAGCAAATATTAAAACCTTGTATGTGATAAGAGTGTATTTTATTTGTTGTCTGTATTTTCCAGGAGCGGTGTAAAACAGTGATGTCTTGTGAATCCTAGCTCAATACAACTGTTGTTTTCCATGGTAAGCTTCAAATCATCAGCCACTGTCTCATCATGTAGCAACTACATCACATATTTGTCACAGGGTATTATACATATAAAATAATCGTCATGGTAAAATCAGGTGGTAACCCACAGTTGGCTTTTAAAAGAGCTTAGAAATTCCTAACCTTTTAACCCCACATTTTACATATTGAAAGGGACATGTAGGTAACAAGCTGCTTTTATGAAGTGTTGGTGGTTTTTCTCAGGGGTGTAAAATAATATTATGAAAAGATTCTTTCTGTGTTTTTTCCCTTTAAAAAGGGTTTAAAAAGTTGTTTTAAAGAGTTCACATCCCTTCATCACTCGAGTGGGGTTAAGCATGGCATTCTGTTAAGTCATTTTACAAGTGTAAGTTTCTTAGGTAATAGATACCTTATCAATTCTTTAAATGCATTGTTTTTAGAAAAAGGGACGGTTTGGGGTTTTTAAAAGCGTAGTAATTAATCACGAAGGCCGATAGGCCTGAGTGATTAATTACAAAGCATTTTTGAAACGAAAATCCGTGCAATTATTTATACAATAATGCCACCGAAGAAGAATTAATAATCTATTTCCCCATTCTAAAACCACATCAAAAAATATAATTTTATTAAGTTTGAACTTTATGTTTTGGTGGTTAAAAATTTCGTTTTCCGCCTCAAGAGTTTTGCAATAGAAACGTTCTTTAAAGGCTGTTCCAGTGGGTTGAAAAAAACTGTTGTTCAATCTACCCTGTGTAGAAACATTTTGAGAATAACGAATTTTTGAAAACGTTTATTAAATTTTTGTTTATTTATTTTATTTCACTCTATAATTTTTCAAGCGAAATTAATCAAATTTTTTTTAAAAGTAAAATAATTGTAAAACTTAACTTCTTTTGCGACATTGAAATATCGTTTTTCTGATTTGATTGTTTTGCACGGTGCTGTTTGGCGCTAACATTGTGAAGTCACGTAAAAAACACTTTAAAAGTCAGTAAAAAGCGTTAAAGAGTGAATTTAAAGATATTGGGGTTCGGATTAATTTTTCTTAGTTGCCCTTTTTTTCATTCTAGGGAAAAGTTTTTAAACAAAAATTCCCACAAAAAATGTTTAAATTTTTTATCAGATTTTTTTAAACAAAATGGCGCCCTTGATGTTTGGAAAAAACACAGGGAGATAAAAGAAAAGGCGAAATTTCATTGTTGTAGAATAATGCACGCTTCGGGCCCTTTTTTGGGTTTTATAGAAAAAAATTTCCAATAGTGTTAGAATTAAAATTCACACAATAAAGGGGAACAGAAAATTTTTTACCTAAGAAATAAAATAAAATGATGGACATTAAAAAATTTCAAAAAACATGTTGTTTAAAAAAATAGTATACTTTTTAAAGGGAAATTTAAATTTTTTTTATTATTTTACTAAAATTTTTTTCCCTCATTCATGAGATTTCAAACTTTAACGTTTAAAAAGCTTTGTTTTTATCTCTTTAAATGTATTACTTTTTAAATTTTTCAGGGGTATTAGTCGTCCAGTAATGAATAGCCAGGAAAACCCGTAAAGTTGTTAGTACCAAAATTTAAATTGGCGGTACCCAGCTGGTACCAGCTGGTTCAAGCAGGCAACCAGACAAAAAAGAAGTTCCTCATCCAAACCCCTCCCCGCTACAGGTGGGGGTTTAAAACTATATACACAGAAACTTGATTTATTTAGAAATTTAAATATATAGTCCCCTTAAAGGGAAATCCTTAAAGGGAAACAAGTCAAATTAGTGTAAAAGTATGTAAAGAAAATATTTGTGGCGTTTTTTAAACACCGAGTTTCCCAAACGTTCACTATGTTTTTCCCC